TGTTGTCTGCTTTTAATTGGATGGGTTCTGGTCTGAAATTGGCTGAAATTTGCTCAGAATTGGCTTAAATTCGCTCAGAATTGGCTTAAATTTGCTCAAAATTGGCTTAAATTTGATCAGAGTTGGCTTAAATTCGCTCAGAATTGGCTTAAATTCGCTGAGATTCGAAGTTGTAGTTTAATGCTGTTGTCTGCTTTTAATTGGATGAGTTTTGGCCCAAAATCAGCTGAATTTGGACCAAAATTGGCTCAAATTTGCTCAAAATTGGCTTAAATTCACTCGAAATCAAAGCTGGAGGTTGATGGTGTTGCCTGCTTTTAATTGGATGGGTTTTGACCCAAAATTGACTGAAATTCACTCAAAATTGGCTGAAATTTGATCAGAATTGGCTTAAACGTGCTCAGAATCGAAGCTGGAGGTTGATGGTGTTTTCTGTTTTTAATTGGAATTGTTTTGGCCCAAAATTGGCTTAAATTCACTCGAAATCAAAGCTGGAGGTTGATGGTGTTAACCACTTTTAATTGGATGAGTTTTGCCCAAAATCGGCTGAATTTGGCCCAAAATTGGCTTAAATTCACTCGAAATCAAAGCTGGAGGTTGATGGTGTTGTCTGCTTTTAATTGGACGAGTTTTGACCCAATTTTGCCTCAATTTGGCCCAAAATCACTTTGGGACGAGCCAAGGTTTGATCGAGTCGGGGTTGGGTCGAAATCTTACTGAAATCGCCCCAAAATCGGCTGAAATTGGCTCAAAAACCGCTCAGAGCGTGGCGTCGATGACGTCATCAAAGCCAAGAGGGCCCCGGCTGGTTTTAACGAGGTCTTGACCCAAAATGGCCCCAAATTGACCCAAAACCCCCCCGAATTTGGGGTCTGATGACGTCATCGGCTCCTCAATGGTGCCCCACCCTCGTTTTTACCCCAAATTTTCCCAAAATCGCCCGAATTTGGGTGTTGATGACGTCATCACCCCCAAGATGACGCCCCGCCCTCGTTTTCACCCAAATTTTCCCAAAATCGCGCGAATTCGCGGTCTGATGACGTCATCAGCCCCAAAATGCTGCTCCACCCTCGTTTTTGCCCGTGCCCCACCCTCGTTTTTACCCAAATTTTCCCAAAACCGCCCGAATTTAGGGGTTGATGACGTCATCATCTCCACAATGGCGCCCTACCTTCATTCCTACCCCAAATTTCCCCAAAACCGCCCGAATTTGGGGTTTGATGACATCATCAACTCCACAATGGCGCCCTACCTTCATTCCTACCCCGAATCTCCCCAAAACCGCCCGAATTTGGGGTCCGATGACGTCATCAGCCCCAAGATGACGCCCTGCCCTTGTTTTCACCCAAATTTTCCCAAAACCGCCCAAATTTGGGCCTCTCAGGTAAGCCCCACCCCTTAAACCCTCTCATCTTAAAGCCACTCCCCTTTCATGCCCCGCCCACTTAAACCCCTCCCAATTAAGCCCCTCCCACTTCAGCTCCACCAATTTCCGGCCCCACCTCTTTAAGCCACACCCTTTAAGCCCCTCCCCTTAAGACTCCACCCACTTATTCCCCACCCTCTTAAGCTCCTCCCATTTCAAGCCCCACCCACTTTGCCCCAGCCCTTTAAGCCCCACCCACTAAAGCCACTCCCCTTCAAGCCCCACCCCTTAAAGCCACACCCACTTAAGCCCCACCCATTTATTAACCCCCTTTTAGCCACACCCCTTTAGTCCTGCCCACACCAGACTCCACCCCCTCTCCCCTAAGGCCACACCCCCTCAGGCCCCTCCCGCGGAAGCCCCGCCCCCTTTTAGCCCCGCCCCTCACCGCCAGGCCGGCCGCGGCCCCGCCCATCAGCAGCGCGCCCAATAGGCAGCAGAGGCAGCGTCGCCGCGGGAAGCGCCGGCCAATCGCTGACCTGGGCGGGGCCGCAGGGGCGTGGTCACCTCGGGGGTGCCACGCCCATGCGGTGGAGGGGGCGTGGCCTCCAAAAGGGGGCGGGGCTTCACTTACACCTTGCGGCAGTGCGGGCAGCGAGCCAGGGAGCGGTCGGGGAGCTCCGCCCACTGCGGGAGGGGCGTGGTCAGAAAGGGGCGGGGTTAAACGGGGCGAGGGGGCGGGGCTTGAAGGCCCCCCAGTCCCCCCCAGTCCCCCCAGTCTCACCAGTACGGCCGGGGGCAGGCGATGCGCTGGGCCGAGGCGCGGCACACCAGCAGGCAGTTGCACGGGCACCTCACGTACTTCTTCCCGCTGGGGGCCGTCCTGATTGGCTGCCGCCGCCGAGGGGGGCGTGGCCTCAGCGGGACACGCCCCCCCCCGGCGCCGCAAACCCCGCCCCTCGCGCATCAAACTCCTCCCCCCTCAGCGCCCACCAACCAAGCCACGCCCAGCCCCGGACCGCACCCAAGCCACGCCCCCCCCGAGGCCACGCCCCCTTACCGTGGCCTCGCCACACCCCCCGCACTTCACCACGTGCTGGTGCGTCTTCCCCTCGACGCTGATTGGCCGCTGGCACACGCGGCACGTGACCGCCGGAGGCCCCGCCCCCGCCGCCTCGGGGCTGCCCAATGGCGAGTAAGGGGGCGGGGCCTCGCCCGGACCCGCCCCCGCGCCGCCTGCCAATGGGAGGGGAGCGCTCAGGGCCGCGCCCGGTTTGGCCACGCCCACCCCGCCACGCCCCCAGGGGGTTTCCCCGCCCGCTGCAGGCCACGCCCCCACCGGGTAAACCCCGCCCATCTCCTGTGGCTCCGCCCCCTCTCACCGGCGGCCGCGGCCCCGCCCGGGCCCGGCCCCGCCTCGGGCGGCAGCAGCGGCGATCGCTCCCCGTCCGCCATGACAGCGCGCCCGGCCAAATTTGGGGTCACTTTGGGGGTCCTGGGGTCACCCTGGGGTCAATTCGGGGTCAATTTGGGGGTCCCGGGGTCAATTTGGGGTAATTTTGGGGGTCCTGGGGTCAATTTGGGGTCACTTTGGGGGTCTTGAGGTCACCCTGGGGTCATCCCAGGGTTATCTTGGTCCATACCGGTCCATACTGGTCCATACTGGTCTGTACTGGTTTCCCTGTCTCCCTCCCCCAGTTATGAGCCCTGTGCCAGTCCATACTGGTCAAACTGGTCCATACTGGTTTATATCAGTCCATACTGGTCCCTACTGGTCCATACTGGTTTACACCAGTTTATATCATATATCAGTCCCTACTGGCCCATACTGGTTTATACTGGTCCACACCAGTCCATACTGGTCTATATCAGTCCCTACTGGTCCATACTGGTCCGTACTGGTCCAAACTGGTCTCTCCCCCCCGCAGTTACGAGGCCTATAGCAGTCCATACTGGTCTGTACTGGTTTATACTGGTCCCTACTGGTCCATACTGGTTTATATCTGTCCCTACTGGTCCAAACTGGTCCATACTGGTTTACACCGGTTTATATCAGTCCATACTGGTCCATACTGGTCCATACTGGTCCATACTGGTCCATACTGGTTTATATCAGTCCATACTGGTCCATACTGGTCCATACTGGTTTATACTGGTCCATACTGGTCCATACTGGTCCGAACTGGTCCATACTGGTCCATACTGGTCCATACTGGTCCGTACTGGTCCATACTGGTCCATACTGGTCCATACTGGTTTATATCAGTCCATACTGGTCCATACTGGTCCATACTGGTTTATACTGGTCCATACTGGTCCATACTGGTTTATACTGGTCCATACTGGTCCATACTGGTCCGAACTGGTCTCTCCCCCCCCCGCAGCTACGACGCATGCGCGGAGGCGGCGCGCTGGCTGCGGGCGCAGTTCCGGGAGGCGCCGCGGGTGGCGCTGGTGTGCGGCTCGGGGCTGGGGGCGCTGGCCCAGGAGCTGCGCGAGCCGCAGAGCTTCGACTATCGCGACATCCCGCACTTCCCCCGCAGCACCGGTACCGCTGGGGGCACTGGGAGGGACTGGGAGCACTGGGAGGTTACTGGGGTTACTGGGAGCACTGGGAGCGCTGGGGGCGGAGCGCAGAGCTTCGACTATCGCGACATCCCGCACTTCCCCCGCAGCACCGGTACCGCTGGGGGCACTGGGAGGGACTGGGAGCACTGGGAGCCGCGGTTACTGGGGTTACTGGGAGCACTGGGAGCGCTGGGGGCGGAGCGCAGAGCTTCGACTATCGCGACATCCCGCACTTCCCCCGCAGCACCGGTACCGCTGGGGGCACTGGGAGGGACTGGGAGCACTGGGAGCCGGGGTTACTGGGGTTACTGGGAGTGTTCTGGAAGGTTCTGGGGCATTTTGGGTGGTTTTCGGGGCTTTTGGGGCATTTCGGGTGTTTTTGGGCTGGTTTTGGGGTGTTTTGGGTGTATTTTGGGTGGTTTTGGGGCATTTCGGTTGTTTTGGGGTATTCCGTGTGTTTTTGGGGCTGGTTTTCGGCTGTTTTGGGTGTATTTCGGGTGATTTTGGGGCATTTCGGGTGTTTTGGGGCTGTTTTTGGGGTGATTTTGGGGCATTTCGGGTGTTTTTGGGCTGTTTTGGGGCTATGTCGGGTGGTTTTTGGTTATTTTGGGGTGGTTTTGGACTCTTTTGGATGTTTTTGGGTTGTTTGTGGGGATTTTGGGTGATCTTGGGGCATTTCGGGTGGTTTTGGGCAGATTTTGGGGTGATTTTGAGCTGTTTCAGGTGGTTTTGGGCTCTGTTGGGTGTTTTTGGGCTGTTTCAGGGGATTTCGGGTGATTTTGGGGTATTTCTGGTGGTTTTTGGCTATTTTGGGTGGTTTTGGGCTGGTTTTGGGTGTTTTGGGTATTTCAGGTGTTTTTGGGCTGGTTTTGGGGTGATTTTGGGCTGGTTTTGGGTGTTTTTGGGCTGGTTTCGGGTGTTTTTGGGCTGGTTTTGGGGTGATTTTAGCTATTTCGGGTGTTTTTGGGCTGGTTTCAGGTGTTTTTGGTATTTTGGGTGTTTTTGGGCTGGTTTTGGGTGTTTTTGATATTTCGGGTGTTTTTGGGCTGGTTTCGGGTGTTTTTGGGCTGGTTTGGGGGTGATTTGGGCTGGTTTCGGGTGTTTTTGGTATTTTGGGTGTTTTTGGGCTGGTTTTGGGTGTTTCGGGCGCCCCGCCCCCCCCGGGGCTCACCTGGCGCCCAGGTGGGCGTGGTGACCCACGGCCCCGCCCCCAGTGCAGGGCCACGCCGGGCGATTGGTCGTCGGCCGCCTTGGCTCCACCCCCTGCGCCGTCCTGCAGGGGCGGTTCCACCTCTACGAGGGCTACAGCTCCGCCCAGGTGAGGCCACGCCCACCCGCGCCAGGGACACGCCCACCGCACCTGGGA